AAAATACAATAATAAATATATAACAACTACTAATAATATAATATACTATGCTATGCTAAAAATCTACTTTGTAACAGAATCTTAGACCTGTCACTTGGAGAATAACAACCTAACCATTGTACTAAAATTACCATCCTCACCATTTGGTACTAATTTGTATTTCTTTATATAACAATATATATTAATATTTTAAAAAAATAAACTAAAATTAAAAAAATATAAATTTGCAAATAAATTTGTTTGCATTGATTTACAATTTAAAAATTAATACTTTTAATTATAATAAATAATATGTTATTAAACTCTTTGAAATAAATAAAATAATTAATTTATTATTTATTATTATTATTATTTTGTTAGTCTAAATTTTTTTATTTGTATTTTTTGTTAAGTTACATAAATTTTTAATATTCAATATATTTGTTATATAATGTTTGAAACTTTTTTTGATTGCAAATTTACTTAATTAAGTGTAATACATTACAAATAAAATTAAGACTAAAAACATAATTAAGAATAAGTATAAAAGCTATTATATATATAAAATACTTTTTTTTTTTTCTCTTTGATTTGTTCTGCTAAGATTTTTCTGTATATTCTTTATATTCCAAACTATTATTTTTCATATTCATGTTTTTCTAAACCTTGATCTTCTCTGATTTGTACTTTTAAACTTTTTAAAAGCAACAGTCGCACTAACCTCTGCCAGAACCAAAAGACTTTACCAAGCTTTATTAAGAACTGACTGTTATTATGAGTTTATGTAGTATCTCTTATTATCAGACTTTAGCTTCACATTACATCTCCTGACTTTAATTATTCCAAATCAGGCTCTAAATCATGTTCATCACTATGTGACTTCTTAATTGCGAATTACTTACTATTTCTGAAAATAAGTCCATTTGTAAACATTCTGAATTCCTGGTTTCACAATGTTGCAGTTCCCTATTTTTGAAAATGCATCTTTACAATTGCTATTACTAGGATTTGAACAAACAACCTTGCAATTTGTAACCTTGAAGCATAACCACTATGCTATCAACCCTAGAGGTCATAAATTACTTTTAAACTAGACTACTTCATATTAAAATCAAATAAATATATGTAGTAACATTAGTATAAAAAATTTTTAATAGTTATGCTAAAGAGATTGTGTGCATAAAGAGCCATTTTTGATTGGCTTATTATCATGTAACAAACCCGAGCTTTTCCCCTGCTGTTTTATATAACTTTCTATAACTAAGACTAATATTTGCAATCATAGTATCCTACGTATTTAACTACTATTATTATACTATGACTAGAACTCCAGTATTTACCTTACGTATATACTTAGTACTTCCGAAAAAAAAAAAAAAACTTATCTAAAATTTTTTGTCGATATGTAAAATACATAATCAATCGGCTCAGCTTGATACCTAGATAGTCACCAAGGTTATTTATGTACGATACATAATTTAATCTAATAGAAATCTTCATAATGATAATAAAAAATCATATAATCTAAGTAGCAATCAGCGCACGTAGGTAATAATTTAGCTAGAGCGATTTACTGTTTGCGCCTGTGATACAAACCCAAAAAAGAAAAAACATTGATGATGCAATATAGCAATAACACGTGAGAATTACAATGTTAAGGTTAGTAAGAACTAAGGTTAGGAAAGAATATACGTAGTATATACTTTGCAAGGAATATTTTTTATTAGAACGTAAAAACCTTCGATCTCATATTGCACCAATGTTACATCTGATCTTAAATCTACATAAGAAATTTTCCTTTTTTAGATTCGTATCATTGGCGCAAATGAGTACGATACGCCTGGCTTGGGCTTTTTGCATCACTAACGATGATACTGTAGAATCCGTCCTATTATGTATTTTTTATTTAGTCTTTTTTTTTGAAATATCAATGGTTTGTTCAATTACTTAACATTCGAAACTATACGTAGTGACTTGACAAGTTATATATATATAAATTGTATTATATTAATTGTGCATACGTAATAGAAATTACTATGTACGTAGTTTTGAATAGGTTCAATATTCCATTATTCATTATATAATACTAACATTTTAGGAGTCAAAAAATAAGATGCCACAAAATTTGGCGTTAAATCCAAATTGTAAAAATTTTTAAGGGTTTTGACTAATTAAACCAACTTTCGAATATATTAATCGTGGTGTAATCTTTATTATGAAGTACCAGTACTGTGAATCAATAAGATCTGTTATTACAATTCTATATTGGTAAATTACATGGTAAAATCAGCTCCTAAAATACGTGACATCACGGGGCTCAAACATCTACTTTTATGTGTACCATGTGTACCATGTGTACCGATATACGATCTGCACAAACAAGGTATAAAAAATTACAAACTTGTATCAGTATATCTTTTCTAACTTGCACTAATGAAAGTTGACTAATACTTGTTTTTTTAACGACAAAAAGGTCTTTGATTATTATCTCCTAAGCAAAACTTTCCCTGATTACATTGTATTTTGCATTCGGTTTATATTTAAGCCAATGAATGAAAATTGCTGTTATAACTGCCAATAAACGTTCTAACTATGAAAGCCTTTCACTCTCACCATTTATAAATCTTGTTCTTAAATAATTTATTTATTCTTACTTCCACTAGTTACTTCCTACCGAGAAACTTTCTTTTGGCACCCTTTAAAAAGTCTGTGCAAGACTTTACCAATTTGTTTAATTACATGTGCTCTTCACATATATATATAACAAGGACGAGATGGGTATTATTAACGGCTTTACTCATCATTTTAATGACCAAAATGAATGCCGTTAATGCGCGTAAGTACATAATTTAATATCCTTGGTGTTCCTGAATTATGATGCATGTAGGGGGATTTATTTACACCTGCATCGATGGATAAATTTCATTATTCAAGTCAGATATTACAATATTCCATCATAGAAGGAGAGAAAATTTATTTATTTATTGATTTATTTTGTAGAAAATACAAGATGTTGCTTTTCGTTAAGAAACAACGTCACACAACCACCAAATTTGTATCGGGTTAGTGTAAATGCTTCCCATGTGGACTCTCGTAAATATAACAACGCATACGTTGTCATGATTTCGTTTCCATCAGGTTACATAGTGCAAGATAATCCATCATCTCCTTATTCATATGTATCATGCTTAAGAAAAGATGATGTTGGTTATGTCTATAGATGTGATTCAAAGGATAAAACGACTTTTTATGTTGAAATGACTATCTCAATACCACAAATTCCCCAAAACGACACAACTGTGTACATATTTGGTGATCAGTGCAATCTCCAGGATGTCTGTCCAGATCTAGCTGCTTTGGCTGATTCTGCTAAAAATGATACGATGTCACTCGGTCCATTTGGCACTTGGTCGAAAGTCGGAGTAGTTATTTTTATATGTATTTTAGGCTTTATTGTATTAGTTGCTTGTTTTGTAGTTGTCAGAAGAAATAGTATGGCAAATATAAACTCAAGAAGGTTAGATTATCCTGATGAAGGTGATGATAATCTGGATCAATTTTCGCATAATGAGAACGATGATAATGTTCTTACACAAATGCCATTAAAAGATACGTTAACTAATGTTGAGAGGAAGATATCACATAAAGACAAAGTTATGCATAGTCCGACAATCAAAAAAAGTTCAAATAATGATGATATTAAGCGATCAAAATCACAAAGAACACAAGATGACAAAAAAAAACATACCGAAATTAATGTTTATTCCGAAAAACAACCAGTTGTATTACCAGATTTAAACCATAATGAACATTCTAATGATAATTTTATACAGGAAATGGATAGACGATCCACTATTAATAGAGGTTCTTTGATAAATGAAAAAGATGCTTATTCATCGAATAATGAAATATACGAAAATTCATTGAAAACAAACCCACGAGTCAACCAAGAAACTGCTGACATAACTCATTTTAATCATACAAAGCAGTGATTGTATCTGATTAAAAACTTATAAGTTTAGCCGAGTCGATAATTTTGATACGGCTAAGCTGGCTTAGTCGGTTATTATCTTAAAAAATTAAATCGGTCAATAATGAACAATAATCCTTATATAATTCATTGCCAGTTCGATGCATCTCCACCAGCCAAGATGCAGATGTAACGTAACGTGACAATCGATGCGATTATATATACCATATTTTTTGCACACGACTCAGAACTTCATCTTTGAAATCACTAAAATATTTATGAAATTTTGGTCTAGAGAATTTTTTTTAATTATTGTTTTATCTTAATTTAACTTGTTTTTATAAAAAAAGTAAATATATAATCTTATTTAAAAAAAAATAAATAAATGTTGCATAATGTTTTCAAAAATAAAAAAGCATGTAATATTTTTAAAATAATGCTAATCCAAAATAATATTTAATTAATAAATAAGTATATAATTGTTTACAAACTTTATAAGTAGTCCACTCTAAGGTTCTGCATTAGATGTCGTATCTAGGAGATTATTTATTTAAGTTCTCTAATTATCCGCTCTGTCAATCATTATTTTGCCGTAAACCTTCTATATATTTTATGTATATTGTCTGAATAAAACGTATATATATTTTTTTTCTAAACTTGTATTTAGATCATTACTTATTTTAGAGTATATCATTTGAAAGTAAGCTTAGAGGGTTTTTATATTAACTAATTTATCTACTTTACGGTTCTATTAACAGAATTATGTTCTTGCAGAATTTACTCAAATTTTAGTATTAATTTTACATTAATACTTTAGTATACTTCTGTTTTGTTTTCAAATTTTCAATACAGATAGCTTAAAAGAATTATAATCTATTTTTAATATATTAAGTCTATTTTAATATGCTTTTTTTTTGATTTAAAATTTAGTAGTTTGATTAATAATACTTTTTTATTTAAAGGTTTTTGTCTACTTAATTCTTTTATATTTATATTTGTTTTCTAAATTTAGTTTTTACAATTGTATAATTAAAAGTTCATACTATTTTCTATTTAAATTTTTTTAAATAGATTTTTATTTTTTTCAGTTTTATAAATTTATATAGTTATAAAAACTTATTTTAAGTTTGTACTGAGGAATTGAACTTTATAGCTTAATTGTAAAGCTACTAATCCTTTACAGATTAGGTTAACAGTTCAAGTTAGATTAAAGGCAAAAATCTTAAGATTTTACTTTGTATAACTTAAAATAAAAGTTAAATTGAATGCAGAATCTTGTGAAAAGTTTCAAGATAAAGTATAAGACCAAATTAAGAATTTTTAGAAAAGACTAACTCTGCAAAGTAAAAGCATTATATGTGATAGTAATGTTACAGAAGGTTTGACTACATAATAGTATTGTGCAAATAAGTTCTTAGAAGATAAGACAGTACTAATAGATATCTCTGTATCTAACTTATAAAATATTTAATTAGAAAGATAATATCAAGTAATCAAATTGAAGTAATGAGTGATACAATGTATATAGAAAAATCAATAACAAAAAATTGATTTAACCAGAATTGGAACATTTTAAATAGGTATTCCAAAAATACTTGATAAATATTTTTCAAAACAATTATATATTACAACTTAGATGATAAGCATCATATCTATATACAATAAATCAAGGTTTTAGACCTTCTTGCAACATCAAACTAGTAGTATATTAATATATAGTTAGTAATACATCTATAAAAAAGTTTGCAGGTATTATTTGAAATTAAATCACAAACTAAACCAAGTATAGAAGTATATCTAAAAAGAATATATAATAAATTGCAAATTAATAATTAAGATCTTAATAAATTTAGCTATATCAATAAGATACTAAAAAGTATATATAGTTGTATATACTAAACTAATAACAAGAAAAACAAAAACTATTAAAATTACCCAATTTGAGAAAAGAATAAATTACTGTAAATAGAAAATAGATAGGTTGCTATTGGATTAAAAATAAGAGAAAATTCAAATATAATATAATATACAATTTTTTTAATAATTTAATAATAATAATTAAAATATATAATGAAGACTACAAAAAATAATACATTAAAAAATATAAGTATAATATTATATTAGGTGTTTAGAGCTAATAATAATTTAGTAATTTTTTTTTTTTTTTTTTTAAAGTAACTTCTTTGGTTTTTTGATTTTATTAATATATTTTTTTAGAAATATAATTCTGTAAGAAGCTATTACAGAAAGAATATACAATTGGCCACTTGTATAACTTTCTATATTACTTATTTAAAAAATCTATCTAATGTTTCTCACCAATTGTCATATCTAACACCTTTGCTTGGATGTTCTATTTAAACTCTTTGAACCTGTCTTATATTACTTCATCAGGTTAAGCCTAGATTTTTTATCTCAAACTTAGAACAGTTATCCTTAAGGTAAATCTTTCAAAGCCTACTGTTTACCTATTTTTGCAGCTAACCTAGATATTACTATAGCAGAACCAACACTTGCAGTCAGGGCTAACTGTTAAACTACTATGTTCTTGTAAAGTTCATTCAGATCCCAATAACTGCTTCATAGAATATCTCTAATACTTTAGTATACTTTTGCTTTTTTTATAAAACTCTTAATTCAGATAGCTCATATAGGACTATAATTAGTTCATCAGTATATTGAGTCAGCCTGATATTTTTTTTCTCTAGTCTAATCTAGTGGCCTGGTTAGTAATAACTCTAAGACTCCCAACTTGAAGATTTTTGTCTGTCAACATTGGTATCTGTTTCTTAGATCTAGTTTTTATAGTAGTATTATTAAAAATTCATATTACTTTTTTACTTAGATTTTTCTAAATAGGCTTCTTGTTTTCCAATTTTTACAGATTTATATGGTTACAAGAACTTATCTTGAGTTTGTATTGTCTGATTTGTTAATTTGCATTTCTCTATATAATAAGTTACATAGATGCTCTATGACCTGCCAGTCATGCTAATATGACTATAATTACAGATATCTTAATCTAATTATTAGAAATAGTTGTTGTAATATCAGATTATATAGGTAATTATTCAAATTTTTATCATTAATAGGATTTGAACATCCAACCTACCACTTGAAAAATTAACAACCTGACTAGTTCATTAGATCATCACATTTCTTAGTAATCTAATAATATAAATATAATGTAACTATATATAATAGTATTATAAAATAAATTATTATTATTTTATTATTATTAGTTATTATTATTATTTTATTATTATTCGTCACTAACCAAAAACTCTTTCAGCTAATTCCTAATTTAGGAAAAATCAAAATTATAAAATTGAAAATACAACAGAAAGTAGTATAACAAGCACTTATTATAATTTTAGAAAAAAGTCTCTAATATCAGAAACTATTATTGCTTTATTAGAATACAAAGGAAAATAAACTTTCTAAACAACAAATACAAAATTTCTTGATTTTTTTTAACAAAATTTTAAAACTTTTAAGAATTTTTGTATTTTTAAAAAATTGTTATTAATCTAGAATAACAGAAAATCTTAGCATATAATTATATAATATAAACAAACAGCAATAAACAAACCAAACATGTTCTCAATTAGGTAATCACTATTTTAGTTAGAATTTAACAAAACAACAAATACAGTAATATTACAACAAATAAGTGCATATAAATTGTCTAAACAAGAAATAACCTGATCTAAGATACAAACTAATAGATCAATGAATAAGATTCAAAAATTAGATATTATAGATTATATCAAGAAGCTAGATAACAGAAACCATAGATATATTAACAGCAAAATTCTAAATCATGTTCTAACAATATTCACAAAAAGCCTATACAATATTAAGTATATTGTAAAAGATCTTGTGTTAAGTGATCTAGGCTATATTACACCAAATAACTAATTGCTTTACAGTCAAATTCTGGAAGTTTTTCATTTAGCAGAACTAGGATAATTAGAAAAAGGCATTACAAATAAATAGGTAACAAAGCTTAGAATAATAAATCAATATCCAGACTTTATAAAATATGTATTAAATATAAGCAAAAAAGAAATTATTTAAAATAAAAAAGAAATAGAAAGAATAACTAGAGCCAAAGAAGTAAAAGAAACAAAGCCTGTAATTAGTAAAAAAAAATAGCAAAAAGAAGTTAGCATAGAAAGAAAAATTAATCAAAATACTAACTCAAGTGCAAGACAAATAGAAATTGTTTTAAAAAACAACAAAACAAGCGATAAAAAAGAAAAAAAACTGAAAGAAGATGCTAAAGTACCAGTAAATGATATGCTTTATAATATTATAAAAAATATTAAAACCATTAACAAAAGAATACAGAAAGTGGAAAAAGAAGAAAATAATAATACAGAAACAATTTTTCTTGATATAATCAAACATAGCCATTGGTCACCAAGAAACAAAATTTGCGATAAAAAAAAATACTTTAAGGCAAATATGCCAGCTTATGCATTATCAGAAGCTTCAAAAGAAAAAAAAGTCAAATATGTTGAGTAGATTGTAGAGAAAAACTATTACATTAAAACAGTAAAGGAAGTTTTCAAAAAAGGCAATAACTAAGTTGAGATCAACTTCAATTGTGAATATAATAGAGACTAAGCAATGAACAGAATTAGAAAAAAAGAAGACAACTGGTTTAAACTTATTCCAAAAAAAACAATAAACAAAAGAAAATTTCTAAGCAACAATTTAGAAATAACAAAAAGAAGAAAAAAGAATATGTAAAGCCAACAAGCCTAATAGAAGCAAATAAAATAGAAAAACCCAATGCAAGTAAAAATAATACAGACTAACACAACTACTTTACAATTTGAGATCTGCTAGCAAACATTAATTTAGAAGAAATAAAATATATATGCAAAAACATTATGAAGTTTCAAGTAATTCAGATCAAAAAATCTAAGTTTAAAGCTCTTGTAGTAATTAAAGCAGTTTATTTTGTAGAAAAAAACATTCTATGATTATTACTGTAATAGAATTTATTTTTTTTCCTATATTAGTATATATTTATTTTTAGCTCTATATTATATTTTATAATTTTC